CAGCACACACACACACACACACACACACACACACACACACACACACACACACACACACACACACACACACACACACACACACACACACACACACATAACTATAATACTTTTGGTGTTTATTGTCTTCACTAATGAATGGTTGCGAGGCCAGCAGCAGTGTTTTCTCACCGCAGGCCTGTGGCTGAGCAGTTGCCTGAGGGTGTGATAGCATTGTGGAGTAACTCTAGTTTACACAAAAGGTAACTGCGTTCGCAGCGAACTGTCAGTTTAGGCGGCAGCGCTTTACTGGAAAAACATTTCCAAGACACTCTAGTAACCTAACTGCGACTATGCGCAGTCATTCTTAACATGCATTCATCCACATGCCCCTAAATGCCACATCCGCTCGCTCCTTCTCCCCCTGGTCCCGTGCATGCACAGAGCAACACACACGATCACACTGACCAGCGCCCCTGCCCACCCGTCCCACAGAGAGCCTCATTCACATGGTCATTAAGTCATTAGGGTACTTATTTATTGATGTCTGCCTCCAGAGTGACTGAGCATGACAGACCTACAAACTGCCTGCGTGGGCCCGTCCTGACCATATTAGTCCATTGTGTGGTTGTGTCTTCGCTCTTGGGTCGTTCATGTGTCGTCTGCAAGCTTTCGCTCCAGGACTGAACGTAGAGCTCATCTTTCCTATACGCTGAGCGAGCTACGTGTTTGTAGTTTGCTGCTCTAATGGCTTCCAACCCTTTAAGAGCCTCCAAAGGCCCCTCAGTGTGCTGCCCGGAGCGTGTGAGTCATGTGATCGGGCCTGTAGGAAGTGCGTTTTGAACGTTGGTGTGTGAATAATTCGACTTGCCCGGTCGAAAATGAGAGGGTTCGCAGAGAAGAGGCAAGCCAGAGAGAGGAGGGCTGCAGAAGGGGAGGGAGATAGGCAAGGAAGAGGAGGAGGAGGAGGAGGGAGGGAGGGAGGGAAGGCAGTGAGCTGCAGAGAGAGAGAGAGGGAGGGAGAGAACGGGAGGGTGGGGGGTTGTCATTGGTTGCTCATTCCAAACTCTGGAAGTTGAGAAGGAGGAGAAGAGAAAAATAAGTTGCTGCTTTAAGAAAGAGAGGAGAGATAGGACAGGCAGAGCGTTTTGGATCTGTGACCTGCCTGGTGTGTGTGTGTGTGTGTGTGCATATATATGTGTGTGTTTTTCTTTTTTTTTTTCCTCCCTCCCCACCTCTCCCTTACACGGGCTCCTAATTTGGGATTTGTTTAAAAGCGGGACTGCGCCGTAGGAAGACTTTTCCTTGCTAGGGAAAGGGAACCCTGCTCCCTCTCTCTCTCACGCGCGCATTTATTACACACACGCACAAACACACTTGACGCCCAAAATGTCTGATTCCACTGTCAACGCTCACTTGGAAGGGATCATATCAGACTTTGAAGGTCAGTTTGTTTCTCTCATGTGCTCTGCTGATTCTTCTTCTTCTTCTCCTTGTCACTGTGGAGTGAGGCTCTCTGTAACCCTGCCATGAGGACACTATAGATCATTTCCACATGTTTGATTGGAGCCCAGCGCATCTGGAAAAATGGAGGGTGTTGCGAGGGCTTTGTTGACGTCTGCGGTGAGCTGTGGTGTTTTTTTAGGGAAAGGGGGAGTGAAATTTGTGAAAGTCTTGCTGCTTTTTAAACTGCTCTTAAACTTTTGCTGCGAGACGTGTTGAGCGATTGTGTTTTATTCTGAAGTGTGAGAGAGAAATTTGTGCTTTTAAAGTAACTGATTTTTTTCTCTTGCTTCACTTTACAACAAACCCGTGTGACAGAAAAGGCAAAAAATGAAACTATATTTTAAGCGCTCAGGAAGCACAAATTGACCGTACGGCTGCGAGGTGAACACCTGGACCACCTCCCCCCTCTTCCTTTTCATCTCTCTGCCCCTGGCACACAGATTCCCCCTGTCATCTCTCCCCTCCCACTCGTCCTCTGGCTGTGCTTCCCCTTTTTCTCTCTCAGCAGCTTGTCCATTCACAGCTCCCTCTCCTCTTCCCCTTTTCGCCTAACCGGTGGTGGTTACAAGAGGGATGGGTGAGGGTCGGCAGGCCAACATCTCTCCCCCACGAAACCGTTTGCCTGTCTCACTAGATGCCTCCTGTCTCACAGCCATCAGGAACGCATCCACACTTGTCCAGAGCTGCGTCTCTGTCAACACGAGTTTGCTCGTGGTATGTCCTGGGAATCTCTCTGCCTCGCTCTCTTCCTGTCTTTAGGTCTTTAAACCACCGGCTTACACAGTGCAACCGAGCGGAAAGATAAGTGGCGTTCAGAAAACAAGAGGTGCGCTCCAACCATCTAGCTCGAAGTCACGCTTTCAGACGGTCCTCGCTCATGTGTAACACCAGCATAATGGCCTACTGTTGGGGTTGTCAGTGGTGCATGTGTGTGTGTTGTCCGTGGTTGGGCTAACTGTGTGGTAATACCTTTGTGTCACCACAATGCCCCGTGATGTATTGCTCTGTGTGGCTCATTGAGCACAGCATGGCACCGATGCAGCACGGGAGTCCTGTGGGAGCCGATATGTATCAGGGTTGGAAAATAAAAAACTACAAGTTCTCCTCTTACTGTAAGTGATAAGATTTCATTATAATGAGCTCATTTGTTGGTACATTTTTAAACATTTTACTTCATTTGAGAACAGCTTATGGGCAGCCTGCAATCAAAGGGGTTTTTGATTTGAAATTTGCTGTAAGAGGAACTTTTAAAATCATAAGCAAGGAAACTTTAGACACAGGCATCTCCCCCTTAAAGGTTAGATGATGCTTTTGTCACAAACTCTCCTTAAAGCCAGACTCTGTGACTTTAGAGAGAAAAAGTAACACACTTCTCTGACTGAAAAGATGAATTTTAAAAGCAACACAATACACCCTTTATTCCCTGAGGGGAGCTTAGCTGCCTCAACTTTACCTGGACCAGTGAGATCGAGTCAGCTAGTTTTATTTTAGCATCGTATACTACACCCCGCTTGTATCTTGTAGCCACAGTTTTAGCCTCCCCCGTCTCAGGTTTTACATCATTTTATGATACAAAGACCAGCAGCGGTAGTTTATTACTGTGTAATAAGAGTCTCTTGCCTTTTCTGTAATCTAAAGTAGCACGTGGTGAATGGTGTGCTGCAAAAACCTTTCACTGTAAGCCTCCAAAACAGGACTGCATCCAAGCTTTTGGTCTTTTCCGGTTAAAAGACACAAGGCCGTGAATGTTTAGGATTTAGGTCAGTTGGGGGTGATTTTAACCACCACAGACCACACCTACAAAGATTGGAAGAAGTTTGGAAAGCTTGCATTTTTCATAGTGATTTCAGATCTCTGATCGGGTTTGGACCCATCTTTCCTGGGTTCAGACCTTTAAATGCACCCATTGCACTGACTGGTACTGTGACATGAATCGGGAATTTCTCGGTTAAAAGACAGTCAGCCAGTTTAACAGCCAAGTAGTTAGCCAATCGACATGACTAACGCTGTTGTTGAGCTGTTCAAAAGTGTTGCAAGTGGTTTGGGGGAAATCAAACATGCTTTTCTACAGAAAACAGAGTTGAGACGACGTCAGACTGAACATGGGAACAAAGTGTAATGAGCGCTGTAATAATAGGTTAACTTTACTTTATCTTATGTCAAATATGCTAATTATTAATATGCTGACAAACCCCAGCGCTCTGAGATACCATCTTCGGATTATGTTCTTTGCTTGGATGGGATGGAAAAAGAGTTTGCGCTGTGTAATCCGGACAGTAACAAGAACGTTATGTGTATCAGTGTGTGTATCTGCCATGTCACTGGTGCTGGACAGTGAGTGTGATTCAGCCTGCCACGCCCTCAGCTGATGACACCATTGAGAGGCTGAAACAGACAGAGGAGAGGATTTACTCGCCCCTGAGGCTGGTGACCTCAGCTGTGACCTCAGCCTCCCTAACTGACATAGATCATTGACCAGGCCACTGGGCTCCTCTTCTGCGAGCAGATGGAGCACATGCACACAAACAGACACACACATTCATTCAGGGTCATCGCAAGAGATCTGTGCTGTCTTTTCTCTTGGGAAAAGTTGGCTGTTTTTCTGTCTCGTAGCCAGAAAAACTGTGATTTAGCAATTTCTGTCTACTACTCTTGTCTCTCTGCATCTCCAAACTGCATGTTAAGGGCATTTGCTTGTCCAATGAGAGGAAATTCCACAGGAGTACATTTCTGCGGTGGGTGAAAATGTCGGGGTAGGCCGGAGAGGAGGAGTGGATCAGAGCACAGCCGGGTTTCTTTTTTTTTGTGCATGGGGCCCAGCCTGCATGGCACTTTTTTTTTTGTTTTGACAGTCGGTGATAAGACAAAGGAAAATCTTATCTCGAGCTAAGAAAGCAGGCTTTTATAAACAACTGAAAGAAAAGCCTATAGATATATAGTATGCCTGGTATGTAATACAAAAAAAAAGGTTAACATTTACAGAATTCGTGGGCTTCGTAGTCTCTGTTTCATCGTGTGTGCGGCAGTTTTAACAATCTGTTTCAAAATAAGGCGGCCCACCTTGTTCTGTGGGATAATTCTCGTTAATGGTAACAGAAAGAAATCCAACGAGGAATCATAGCAGGAACTTAAATGCCTGTCAAAATGAAAACAGTCATTATACAGTAAGCCAACTGCCAATTACATGTGCCTTTGGATTTTTTCAGGAACCGTGTTAGTTGGTGCTCTGTAGCCAGCAAAGCGTTGAAACTGTGCTACAAAGAAACAGATACTGTATGCTGGGCTAGTACGATTGCAAGCATTAAAGCTCAGTAGACACACTAAACAGAGAGTGTGTGAGAGGAAGGAAGTAACTTTCTGACAAAAGGCTGATGAGCCACCCTCAGGAGTCCCCATCCTTATCAGCACTATCAGGCTGCTCTGTATTCACCAGCTCCAACAGGTTTCCTGCTAATGACGCCAACTGCAGGGGTGCTGCTGGAAGGCACAGAGGGTCACTCTGCAGAGCGAACACAGCAGGTCTTTGTTAAGTTTTAAAACTAATCCTAGTTTTTTTACTCCCAGTTGGACATGACGAGTAAAAAAGCTGCACCTATTCCAACCCTGGGCAAGATCCGAGAGTTATGAACACACTCCATGCTACAGCTAAATACAGCTAGTCTTCGATGAAAGATTTTCTTTGACTAAATTTTTTTTTTCCTGTAAGGGAATGAATAATGTCTTTGACTGAGATTCGTTAAGGACCAAATGATCCTATGCCAGCTCTTTCAAAGAAACATTTTGACCTGCAGGCCACCCTGTCTTTAAGAGAGGAGCGCAAAACTCAAGTGCTCAAAAACAGACTGTAAATAAAAAATGGGCATGGACAGCAGAATTCACTGTAACTCATTTGTGTAGGTGTTTGGCTTTGCAGAGTGAAGGGCTATGGATATGCAACCTACAGACATGTGCTTACATGCAGTTGTTAATAATTCAAAAGAAAAATAACAGCATGCAAGGCTGATTGGTTAAAAAATGTGCAGAAGGATGCTATATGTCCCTCGATGTTATCTGCATCATAGACATTGGGGGCAGGTGGATGAGCATTACTGTTCAGCAGCTGGCTTGTGTCTAGCTGATTCATCCTTCCTACCACTCCCTGCGAGGGGATGCTAGCCTTCCCCAACCGGGATGGAGGTACTTGTTGGTCCTAGGGCAACAACCTTAGGTTTTTCCATACTCTTGGTTTATGTATCTATGCATTTTATGCAGTTTTTCTTACCAGGGTGGTTGGGGGTTCATGATTATTTGTCCTGTTATTACATGCATTACTTGGCTGAAAGATGAGCAAAAACACAAGCAAGACTATCCTACACAGTCTTTTCTTATATATATACTGCCTTTGGTGTCAGTAAAAACTACAAGATGTACATAAATGATGGTCTGTAAAACTGTGTAGGATCGATGCACGGCCATGCTGGCCCTTAGTGTCACCCAGCGTTTGGCATTTTGAAGCATTTACTTTAACACTTTTGTAGTTTCCATCTTGTTCTTTTGGAGCCAACAGTGACAAAATTTGGATGAGATGGGGGACTGTGAAATTTAGCAACTGATGGTAGAGCAGGTTGTCTACCAATTGAAAGGTCGTTCCCAAACTGCTTCAGTTCACATTACCAAAGTTGAATGTGTGTTTTATTGGGTGAATGAGACTTGCGGTAGAAATCAAGGCTTTGATGATCACCTGCATAAAAAGACTATAAAATCCTGGTTCATATGCCATTTACGTTGTGCCACTTGAAGAATTGGTTAGCAAGCTGGGTGTGTGTCTGTATGGGGATATCACATCGATACATACATGCCTAAGTGACGCAGTGGTTATCATGTTTGCCTGTTACGCCAAAGATCCCTGGTGAAAGACTGAGAGGAGATAGAAACCCAGCCTCGGGGAGGCGGAAGTTAGTGTACTCTTGGTGCCGGTCTCAAGGCCTCCCATGGTGGGAAGGTTGCATCAGGCCGGACATCCGGCGCAAAATCTGTGCCAAATCAAACATGAAGGTTTATCTGCTGTGGCTTCCCCTTGGGAAATAAGAGAGCGGTCTCTAGTGCGAAGTAACAGGCTGCTAAAATATCTCTAAAGTTGAATCTAATGTTGTAAATTCTGCTTTAAAGTTGTAAAACTATAGACCTCAGGCCTGGCTGAAGCATTCATATCCACTCATTGTCAGCGTAACAGCACTCTGGTTTGAAATTACTGAGCAGCTCCATTAACACAATGGGATGTGCCTGACTAGTTGAATATGTTTAAAGTGAGTTAAATATCTCGCATGCTACATTTGCATGGAGCCAGGTATTGCTATAGTAGTTGGTTTAAACACCTCAGTAAGACTAGAAAGGTCCAAGCCAAGTAAAATTTCAGGGGAATAAGTGTAACTGATCACATGAAAATTATAACAGGTAAACAGTTTAACCTGATTTATCTTTCTTTGGCTGTGTTCTTTCTGCATATGGCAACCTCTGCAAGCTGAAAATTTGGTCTTTGATAACACTGCTTAAGTAGAATAAATACCTGCAACTTCTTCTTGGAACAGGTGATAGATTTCCACCTTCAGGGAGATGATCGTGAAGAAGATAAGATAAGGAAGGTGACCTTATCTTTTGGTGGAAGATGACTGCAGGCCATACTCATCACTTTTTTACGTGCTTTTCTACTTGAATGCGTTGGCACATGAGCGTGTTCAGCTCAAATCCCAATAAGCTGACCCAATCAGAACAATGTCAGGGAGAATGAAAAATATATATAACTGGATTCTTTTTGATGACAAAAAAAGTCTTCAGTTGGAATAAAGTAAATATTGTTTTTGCATTAGCAGGATCTTAATTCGGCAGGAAACAAGGACAGGGACTGCGGGAAGCTGCTGGGAATTGCTAGCAGACCGAACCACCAACTTTTCTGCAGCAACTGTATGATAGAGTAGACAGTACATGCACAGATACAAGGATTATAACTTAGCCTCAAGCATGCCGGTACTTTATCATGTGACTGTCTGTTTGGAGGTATGCTGGTGCTCTAATTAGGTTTTGTCAGCTTGCTCACTGTCAATCTCCAGATGACCAAACTACCTCTCGCTGACCTGTCCAGCTCATCCGCTGTCACGCTCAGAGATGCGTATCGAATGTGGTCCTCAGTCGGTACATGCTATGCTAGAGGAGAAGCGTCATGTGATTTTTCTGGCAGTTTAACTATGTTTCAGTGCACTACATGGATCCAGCCCATGCCTGACCGAGTGTCGGGTGGAAAACATCATGCTTGGCTCAGTGTCTTCCTTATTTGGCAGTTAAGGTTGTGAGAAGGGTTTCCAAGATTAATAGGACTCAGAAACCTGCTTCAAATTCATCTCAAATGAGAGGTAAAAAGAAGGGGTTGCATTTTGTTCCCCGTTGGGGCTTATCAGTACTATCTTTGCTTCGTTGGATGGTATGTGATCAATGCTATCGCCTCAGAGCAGCAGCAGCTTGAAGCCATCACGCATAGGAATACAGCTAAAAACGTCACACGCGCTCAACACCATTCATGTGTAAACATGCAGGCACATAAGGAGTCACTGAGACATGCAGAAGTAATCGTGCCATCGTCTTCACACAAAAAAAGGGATTAATCCCCACCTGACCGTCAAAACAACAACAAAACCCAGTTGTGTTTGCTTTACTCTACAGCTGTGTTTAAACACACACACACACACACGCGCACATGCATGCACATCCAGTGAGAGATAACACAGAGTAACTCAGCTGACAAGGCCCCTGTCTCCACAGTGTCTGTGAGGACGTCACTGCGTTGGCCTTGTGTCACCACAGAGCGCACTTTCAGCGCCGTTTCAGGCAAACGGGTCATTAGTGTTTATCAAACCAGCAGCCAGATGCAGTTTTAAGTCATCTTTGGCGTCTATTTTGTGCTTACTTTTACTCCTCGGCCTCTATAAACAGAGCGAGTCATGTCCACTAAATTAGCCGCTTCGTTAATGGTTCCCCTCCTTTCCATTTCTGACAAGAAATTCCCACCGCGTTCGATTAATTTTAGTATAACTTCAGTGTGACTAGTGTGCCATCTGTGTGCTTGTACTTAAAGAAGAACATCAGGCATTGCTACCCTTTCTTCTGAGAACATTTCAAAGGCCAGTTTTCTCATTATTTCTACACAAAGAGCTTGTTGTCAGACACAGATGAAATGATCGCAGCGATGTATATTTCATGCTTTAGCAACTCAAAAGGTCATTACTGTTGCAGACGACCAGCTAACCCAGCACCTCGTGGTGGACAGTGTTATTTGTTAGTTTCTTCTCGGTACACGCTGTGATATCAGACACAGAAATCTGCAGAAACATATCGAGGATGTGGAAACACTGAGTTGGGGGAAAGAGAGGATTCTCCCATGCTGGTACTTGGCTTGTCAGCTTTGAAACACGGCAGATGCCTGATCGGGCTCGGGTGTTTATCTGGGACAGGGGCTGTGTTGGTCCAGATTTTAGTGGCTGCTCTTGTCTCTGGGCCGAGCTGAGGTGAGCCAGGTGTCACCATCGACATCTGACATGCAGCTCACTGCAGTGAGGAAAAAATGCAATTTATCAACCAGTAACAACACAGCTGCTGGTGAAATACTGACTCATTCAAAAGATATGGAAGGGGCTTACTGGTTTGTCAATATACACTGGCTGATTTGGATTTTTCAGAGCAACTTTTGCTCTGTGGCCTTCCTCATCTTTGTTTTCAGGAGCCAGAACTGACTATATTTAGAAGAGATACTGATGTGCTAAGTCATTGCATAGCTACCAAACTGCCTGTATAGTCACATATTTTATTTGCATAACATTATTATTTACTTATTTTTATTTTATTGTTATGATTTTCTAATATATGTCTTATTTACTTTTTCTTTCTGACCCTTTTGTTGCTGTAACGTGTCCATACCATTAAAATGCTAAAATTCCACTCACCAAAGCAGGATCCAAGTTTCTTTGGCATCTTTTCTTGAACTAACAAAACTTCAAAACATATTACTTGCTAAATTCAAAGTAGTCCAAAGTTTCCGAGGCTTAGTTTGGTGTAGAATAAATGGTAATATAACATAAAGTAGATATAAGAAAATATTTCTATATTTCATTTTTAGTTTATTAGTGAGAGTTTTGTTTTAAATAGATCCTTTAATAAAATCTATGGAAGCTTATTTTGACTACTGGGGAAAAATATAAGTAAGTAAAAATTTCAGGTTATTATCTCAGTATTTCGACTTACTAATTCAAACTTCTAAGAAAATCATTGTAAATTGGGAAAAGTTTTATTATGTAAAATTTAAAAAAAAAATACAAATTCCAATCTGAATTTTGAGATAATAGGAAAAGGAAATTTTCACTATGGCAAAAATAAAATAAAAAATAAATAAATTACAAAATCTTGATACTTCTGGTAGAACATACGTCAACGCTTTAGGATTACGGGTCACGTGATCATTCTGGGCTCTGACGACGTCATCCTGATACGCTGTTCTGGCTACAGGTGCGCGAGGTTCGCGGAGCTGAAGAGATGTGTAGGTAGCCGGTTAAACTGAACTCTTTCCTTTCAGTGGCTGGGTGTGAGTGGAAAGCTCGGCAATCCTATTAAAACGTGCTTGGTGGGGAAAAAAAAGAAGTATCTTTATCGAGTGAATTAAACGCCATGTTATCGCGCTATATGAAGCGTGTCAAGTCGAGTAAGATGAGTTTCTTCTGGATTTTCTGTATTTTATTTCATTTCAGCGGTTTGTTAGCTAACCAACTCGTTAGCTGATATCCTTAACATTGCGCGCTGCATTTCGTTTAATAACTTATATCTTTCCGATTAAATTGATTATTTTCTCTATAGGTTATTGTTCAGCATGTGTTTTTGCTATTATTGTTTAAACCTTTGTTAAAGTGGTAAACCTGAGGACTTCCAGGCTTCTAGTGCCTCTGGTTTTTCTGCAGTTTCCCCAGAACTTTTCAACTTAAAAGAAAAATGTAATGAGTATTTGAAATAAAAATTATGGTCTAAAACTAGGCCATTAAGTACCAGAAATGGATGTTGGCTCTATAGAGTCCTGCTACAGGGTTGGAGAGGAAGTGATGAGCATTATTGTGTCCTCTGGCTCTCATGTTTTCTTCTTTATTTGTGCTTTTACTTTCTTTTTACTCCATATGATAACACTGTAATGGTGCAACAGTGATTTAAGTCCATATCTGTCAGCTCAGGCTGTTGTTTCTTATGTAACCATGTTTGTTGTTTGTCTTTCAGCGCTGAAACGCTCGTTTGAGGTGGAGGAAGCGGATACATCCACACACCCATCGCCCCTGACTCGCCGGACCACCAACCCCCTACGCTCATCCACCTCCTCCACATCCAGCCAGCGGAGCTACGACTTGAGCTCCCGCAACTCTGACTACTCCTCCACCAGATCTTCACCCTCTGAGTCCTCCAGTCTACGCTCCCCGAAGACTGGCATGAGGCGCATTGAGTTGTCAGGGGGTCGTAATGCTGATACAGCCTCTTCCCGCCGTGCCGAGATGTCCATTGAGGTCTCCTCCAAGCAGATAGATAGCTCGCCCAGTGCCGGCATCACCCGCTTTGGGCTCAAACGGCCGGAGGTCAGCCTGAGCAACAGGAGCACCTCCCTGGAGAGCTCCTCCAATTCCTTCTCAAGCACCAGTAGCAGGCGAGGGGAGCTGAACATGACGAGGACCCACGAGCCACCCGCCCCTCCCCGGAGGATCGACTCCCAGATGGCCTCAACCCCGGTGTCTAGGATCCCCGAGCCTCCCCAGAGAAGGGCGGAACCCCCATCGCCCAACCTTAGCCCAGTTGATGTGGCCTTCAAGAGGCCAGAGGTTCCTGTGGAGAACAACGGCCACCAGCCACCTGCACCCGTCGCCCCCTTGCCTTCACCTGCAGAGCACCGGGTGGAGAGGGTGCAGTCGCCTGTCACAGAGGCGTCCGCAAGCCGACCAGCAGACAGTGAGTACCTGCTCAGTTGGGCTTGTTTTCCAAACTAACCCCTGTGTATGATTTATAGAAGTAAACTCCTCAGTGAGATCAAACAGTTTGTTTGAAAGCGACACCATATCTGATTTTCACTTGTTTCTTCCGCTTGACTGTTTCTTCTTAATTTTATCTTGCAACATACTCATAGTCATGTTAAGAGGAGGCATACAGCTCAGTCCTTGTGAGCTTGTCATTATAGACTATCTGAATGTAGGTCAGCGAGGGTGATGATGAGAATCCCAGAGCTTCTCCCAGGACAGCGGTTACAAGAAAAGACTCAGGCAAGCGGTTGAATATGTTGGCTCTCCCTGAACTTAAGTTAAAAACTTATAGCACTCACAGTCTGGTTGAAGCCTTTTTAAGTTCAGACAAGCAGGCAGTTGTAGTTAATTTGGTCAGTTATTTTTATAAGATGCATGTGACGCAGGAGGAAGTCTGGTAGCCACTGTTTTTTGACCTTAGCGTGCGGTTTTTGATTTCTTCTCTTTTTTTTTTCTTTTCTGTGTATTCTCTGGATTTTTGTGACATAAACTCAGTAGGATACTTGCGCAAGTGAATTTATCCCTGTCTAGACCACTCAGAGGCTTTACTTTTCACCCACAGCTGACTAACCTCTCAGATGTGGTACAGGGATGATGCCAAGCCCAAACTCAAGCGTCAGATGTTTTTCTAGTAACTTGTGCCTTTAAGTATTGGTTTTACTGAGGGAAAAACAGTCACTTTTTGGACTAACCACTCAACCTGACCAGTTCAAGTGTTTGATGTTGATCATAACATGATTTGATGGAGGACTTTTTAATTTGCTTGACCATTTTTGAGCAATCGATCAGGGGAAAGTGATGACAGAGGTTGGTTAGGCTGCTCATCCAGCATGCTGGTTCATACCCAAAGATGACACATTACTGCCTTTGAACTTTTTCTTATGTTCTTTTTCTTTCATCACATTATCAGGGAGAATTTAGCTCTACAGTAACACTTTCCCAAAAACTGAATGTGGATTTCCATGAGGTACTTTCTGGATATGCCTCATCTTTAATGGATTAATTAAACCTAATGTTTAAGGTTAACCTATGACCTTTTCTCTACTGCCACTCTCAAGTCGAACTGCTTCCCCCCCCCCCCGATATGTTTGTTTAACCCCGTGCTTTAATAATAAATGTCAGCCTTTGGAAGTGTCTGTTTTCCGTTTTTGAACTGCCATTGTATGCTTTCTTTATATTCTTCTTGGCTCTTAGTTTAAATGGAAGAAAGCATGTGTATTTGTGCAGGACATTTTTTGTTTTTCAGTTTATCGCTTATTTTGGTTGTTTGCTTTCCTATCTTGTCCAACTAAAACAGCGCATCGCTATACTGGTATGTGTGTATGTGCCTTTGCTATCTGGAGACAGCTGTGCTCATAGGTTGCTGTCACTGCTTAAGTAGTATGCAGGCGTAGGCGGCTGGGAGGTGGTACATTCCAAATCTGGAGGTCATAAAACATTTTACATAAAAATAGAAAGCCTCCAATTTCCACTTTTTTACATGGTGTCTCGCCTGTTTTTGACTCTGTCCACTGTTTTCCCTTGCAGGCAGCTAGAGATTTATTTTGGTTGTTCTTCTACCTAAAGAGATAAAAGACCTTTAAAACTTTTGTTTCTTAGATACCAGCATTGTTGTATCATTGAGCACATGTGCATTCTAATTATGTAAAATAAGCAAGGAAACGGGAGAGGATTAGATCTCAGCTTCTGCCACATTTGGCTCAGATTACACACTTCCTGCTCAGCCGTGCATGTGGAGGGAGGCCCTGCAAGAAGCTTGGGAAGCTTCCAGCAGTGAGCAGATAGGAGGCGGAGAAAGAGTCTAGAGTTTGTGGACAAGAGAGACAAGAGAGAGCCAAATGCATGGAGATGTGAAGCGTGGATAGAGACGATGTGCTTCCTGTAGTTTGTCTGCAGGGAGAAAACAATATGAGAAAAGCCCACTTTAGCATCCCGTCATTTGGAAATAAATCTAAACAGTTAGACCACACTGGTTCAACATCGTGCCCAAAACCAGATTTTAATTACCATTTTCTCAACAACTCCACACAGCTTTGATGCAGACCAAGCATTTGTTTTTGTTGGTAAATATTTTGACTTATTTTGGAAGTGGAAACGGAGAATGTTTTCAGTTTGTTTACTTCTGTTGCCGCCTATGTCAGGTCTGCATCCGGTTGGGTGTCAGTGTTTTTTCTGAGACCCATTAGATTATTACTTAAAGCCTCTTCTGATTTATATGAAGTGGGACGTACTCACCTTCGGGTGTCAGCTCATGTACGTACATGCCATGAGCGCATACATTCATCCTTGTGTGAATGACGAGGGTTAAGAATGCCTCACGCCCAGGGGAGAGTGACTGATGGACATGCTGATAGGTGATAAGAAGTTTTGTGGTGGCTGTTCGAGAGCACAGGAGGTAGTAATGACATGCTTTGTGTGGGTTGATTTGTCGCCTGTAACGATGAGCAGCTGTATTCAGTCTCAAGCAGGATGTGATCTCATGTTTACCCACAGAGAGACACACACATGCACACTCATTGTGTACACAGCTCAGTTTCCTGTTCCTGGCCTTGACCTTGATTTGTTTTGTCATGGATGCTGTGATACATATCGCAGAGTCAGTCAAATAGGCTTTGTTTTGCATAAACTTAATATGAAAAAAAAATTGCAGTATTTGGGATGGGTTGGGTTATCTGTTTGCATGCAGTTTCTCCTGCAAAAGTTTTATTTGCAAAGGGCGCTATGAAAAATATCTGGGAAATTAGTCAGCTGCTCTCACCGTGCATATTAACTCCACCCTTACCATCTTTGCAGCTGGATGATAGTGAGGATTGCCACAACAACAGTAGGCACCTTTTCAGAGAACCAGCTGCTATGGAAAACGTGACAGGAAGTAGGTTTGCTAACACATTTGCAGGACTTAAAATCTGAAATTGTAATCTACAGAAACTCTGTATGTAGTGGAAGTGTGTTCAGCATGTATGCTTTGCTCCCTGATTCACAAACAATGTAAAGGGGTAGTTCATGTGGAAGGACTGTGTAAGAAAAAAGAAATACACATAAATGCAATAGAATTCAAACTGTGGATGCAAAACAATGCACCCCTCAGTAATGTGTTTTTGAGAGGGATAATGATCCTAAGTTTAAATATCACATTTATCTGCTGCTGCTGATGCCTGCAGCCATAAACAAACCACAGAAGTATCTTTACACTGATCTGTTAGAGGTTTTGCAACATAAATTGATATTTAACAATTTAAAACCTGTTGGAGCTCTATGATTGACTAACTATTGCATGCAAATTCATTTTCTATATGGCTCAAAGCCAGTTTCTCGTTACTTTACTGCAATTTCTTGCTGTTGACATACAGCACACAGCTGCGTAGACCTTATATAGGATGTTGATTTATTGGTCTGTTTCTCAGAGAAAACAACAATGGAAGACCAAGGCTTGAAATCCCTTTAAACCTGCTGCTCTGTGATTGTCATACATTAGTTTAGCTATACACTGTGATGCATACAAACAACAAAATAATATCACCACTGGTATTTCCTGTCTTTTTGCTTTAAAAAATGATTAAAAAAAATTATTTAAAATGTATAAATGGTTAAGTAACACTGTTAATCAGTGCATATTACATTTGGTGTATTTTAAATTTTACACCATTTATTTTTATTTTTTATGTTTGTGCCTCTGGTCTTCTTTGGATGCCTCACTCTGACAGCAGCGAGTTTGTATAAGTGTCTTTTAAAATACATTAACTTAATGAAGAATTTTCACATCAGATTATGCATAAATACTAGAAAGTTTGAAAGGAGAAAAAGCAAAAGAAAAGTTTGAAGATATTCTGTTATATACTCTTATATAATCTACTATTTTAGACTATGTCTGCTGTGTCTTGCCTCCTGCCATTGATTTACTTGCATTTCCTGCTACATTTTTTGGCTTTTCTCAGTCTATCCTCTGCTTTTTAAAGGTAACCCCAGTCCAGCTCATTCACACTACCATGGGTCATTTTAAATTAAACTTAAGTAGTCAAAAACTTTGTAGTACAGGTGTTTAAAAATAAGTTAATGACCTGTGGTTCACAAAGCCATTTTTAGGCCTGAATTAATTATATCATACCTTGGCATGGTGGCAAGTGAATGCAATTCAGCATAAAAAAAAAAACACGGCAAGTTATTGTTTTAATTGACTGGATGTATTCGTTTGTAATGATTGACATTTAGATCTTCCCCCCCAAAAATCTAAAATAGAAACATTGTAGAAATATAGATATCTCCATGTCCTGGCTGTACGTTTGTTTGAATGTTCAAATGCACGTCACACATTCATTGTGTAGCATTGAGCTTAAAAGCTTGCACTTCAGCAAGCAGCTTGAGGTGAATTAGTTTAATTTCTTTGCACAAACAGCACATAGTAGTAATAAGAGCTAATTTATATAAAAACTGATTACCATGCTTCAGTTAAACAAAACTGATTGTCTTGTTATGTCTCTGTCTTATGTTTTGCTTAAGGGATGACACCAGTTCTTAACTGGCCTGAAGACAATTTCTATTTTCATGAAATGCTCCGTTTAAAAAAAGGTGTTTTAACTGTTGTTTAATAAGCTGTTGAGCCACTGGGAGCCATAGCTATGACACGTTCTATAATACTTACTGCCTGAGGCTCACAGCTAATGATTTACATGTTGTAAATAGTGAATATCAAAGGTGTTTTGTTGATTACACCTCTCTAATGCAATCTTTCCATGTGCTATCTTTCCTGAAGAGGTGTGCGTTTATGTAGGTGTGGAGCCAAACATGGAACTTGCAGCATCATGCTGAAATGCACTCCCATGCTGTCCACCTGCTCCCTTATTATTAATGAGGTCTCTTGGATTGTGAAGTATTTAACATAATTTCTTCTGCTACTTGCTTGAAACTAAAAAAAAATTCCATTATGTTTTGGTTAACAAAGGAACACAGGAAGGGAACAAAAAACCTGTTGATACAGTGAGCTCTATTTGCTGATTTTAAGGTTGCTTAAAGAATATTTAACATAGTAATTGAGTGTGAACTTCATGCACTGGGGCGTGAATTTAGGACAGTAATGACACATTAGGCAGTTTTTGCTTTATTATGTGTTTAGTTTTATGTAATGTGATTGAAAGGATGTACAAAGAGGAAGTATGAAAGTGAATCCACAGCAG